GCAGCCCGCGCCCGCCTTGAGCCGCGGGAGCAGCGGCGGTAGAAGCGGCGAGAGAACCGGGGGATCGCGCTGCCGGGGGAAAAGCTGGAGCGAGGCGAAAGCGTGTAACAATTGCACACGCACGCACACACAGCACTCACACGCGCTCGCCGCCCGCCCGCTCGCACAGCGCTGGAACACGCGCGCCCAGACACGCACACACGCACGCACACACACTCGCACACACGCAGAGGCACGGGGGGGAAAGAAGCCGATGAATAATTTCGCTATTTTTTAAAATACTGGCCGCCATCATCAAGCAGCGAGCAGCAGCGGCTGGAAGGGGAGAGGAGGCAAGGGGCAGGCCCCTCTTAGGAGAGGATTTATATCTAGGTAAGTGTTGGAGATTTAAACCTACCCTTTGCGCCATCAGTCTGCGCTCCAATAAACTCCTGGATGTGTCGTCTATTTAATATCCCAGTCCGGATAAGAAAGTGATCTAGGCTGAAGATTCCTTTTTTTTTTTTTTTTCCAAACCAAGGAGACTTCTCCCAATTCTCCAATATGTTAATTTTTAGGGGGGGGAGCCCAGGCAAGACAACGAAGAGTTTTTTTTTCTGTGATATTTCTTCTTTTTCTCTTTTTTCCTCTTCTTCCTCCTCCTCCTGATCTTCCTCCTCCTCCTCTACCACCACCTCCTCCTCCCCCCTCCCCTCCTCCTCTTCGGTACTCCTTTCCCCCTCTTTCTCTTCTCTTCCTCTCAGTTGGAAAAAAAAGAAAGAAAAGAAAAAGAAGAAAAAGAAGAAAAAAATTGTCAAGCCCCCGAACTGGAGGTTACGAGCGGCCCGTCAGCAGCCCACATGTAACCGAACTGTCGTGTTTCATGGCTTTTTGCCACTCCAGATGTCAATCAGAGCCCGGAATGTCAAGGTAGTGAATGAGTGATGCTTGACGATGATGAAGAGGAGGAATCTCTCAGACCCGTTTTTTTTTTTCTTCCAGTAAAACTCCACGAGGGGTTTCTGCTTCTTGAATTTTTTCCTCCCCTCCCCCCTTTTAGCTTGGCCCCCGCGATATCGCTAATAGGATCCTCTCTCTTTAAAGTATTGTTCAAAAAAAAGCGGGGAGAAAAATCGAGAAAAAAACGAATAGTTTGCAGAAATTGGACTTCCTCCCCCCCTCTCCTGGTAGGTATTTTGTCTCTCCCTCTCTCGCGCGCGCTCGCTCGCTCGCTCTCACTCGCGCTCGCTCTCTCTCTCTCGCTCGCTCGCTCGCTCTCTTTCTCTCTCTGGGAGATGAGTGAGTGTCAGTAGGTGTTGGCAGGTTGGCTGCTGCCGGGCTTATAGAAGAGCCTGGCTTTGGCGGCGCGGGTCGGCGGCGGGACCTGGTAGGTATTTTGTCTCTCCCTCTCTCGCGCGCGCTCGCTCGCTCGCTCTCACTCGCGCTCGCTCTCTCTCTCTCGCTCGCTCGCTCGCTCTCTTTCTCTCTCTGGGAGATGAGTGAGTGTCAGTAGGTGTTGGCAGGTTGGCTGCTGCCGGGCTTATAGAAGAGCCTGGCTTTGGCGGCGCGGGTCGGCGGCGGGAGAACGCAG